CAGTAGGAATTGACCAGGTTATGAAGAATCTGCAATTAACTCTCATTAGAATTCATGACACCTTCATAAGATAAAAATTTGAGATGGATTTGAAATTAGGTGAGGCATGTTATCATGCTTCGAGCCCAATCCGTATACGAGACGGCAAGCCGTCTCTGCTGGATCAGGCAGATACGCAAGATTTTTTGCTCTAGCTTTAAACTAAGCCACCAATCTTGGAGTTTGAGGAAAGATGAGTCTTGTTCAAAGCAATCTAGAGTGAGTCTGAATCAAACATAATGTGTAAATTCCGAAGAAAGACTCCTAAAATAGAGAAATAACTCACAAAGAACCCGTAAAATCAGTAAAAAGGCAATAAAAGAAGCAATACCTCTTAACAGCCGTTGCTTTCAGCGGTTCCATTTCTTCAGTGTTCTTCTTCGATGATGCGCTCGCATTTGCGAGTCGTCGTTGACTCAAGACGGTCGTAACTCTCGGCTCGTTCCTCTTCGTCCACTGATCCTCATTTCTGGCCGACGTTTCACTGCATGCCGTATCCAGTTTATGAAGAACCTGCATTAACTCTCATATATCCTCATAAGATAAAAATTTGAGGGGATTTGAAATTAAGTGAGGCATGTTATCATGCTTCGAGCCCAATCCTTATACTAGACGGCAAGCCATCTCTGCTGGATCAGGCAGATACGCAAGATGTTTTGCTCTAGCTTTAAACCAAGCCACCAAACTTGGAGTTTAAGGAATGGTGAGTCTTGTTCAAAGCAATCTAGAGTGAGTCAGAATCAAACGTAATGTGGAAATTCGGAAGAAAGACTCCTAAAATAGAGAAATAACTCACAAAGAACCCGTAAAATGATGCTCGAAGACCATTTAAGTAATCGACGACAAAGTGCCGAATGAACATCGCTTGTTACTATTAACATATTAGAGATATCTCAAATATTATCCTCGAACCTTTGAAATAAAATTGTTCGTCGCATCATAACGCTTCTTTCATGCAGTTCTAGTATACCTTTGCCCTGCAATGATCGAAATTAGAAAATGCTAAGCGATAAACCATAGACGACAGTTCACTCATCCCTCAGCAATCACATTAATAGAGGCTATTCAACTGATGAATTGCAAGCGCTGAGGTGGTTGGTTCAATTTTGGGATGCTCCATTGAAATGACTCGTCTGTGCAGTCAATCGATAACAACTGGCTACTCTTCAAAATTTTTAGAAAATTCGATCAGTTCAAAAAAATAACGAAATTTAAATCTATAACACAGAAATTTTCTCGGTTTCTTGTGAAATTATGTGAATCAGGGCCATGATCGCGTGATATTGAATACTCACCGGTGATACCTTGCAAGAGAACATCCGAAACATATTATCGAGAAATCCGATTTAAAATTCAGGATGTGAATAATATTTGCAAAAAACCGAACTCGTTTACCAAATGGATAATCTCGAATGAGTGAATTTTTGGAGGTGTTCTGCTATTGTGTGGCTCTGATTATATGGCTCACTGTCAGATGGGTCTACAGAAAATATTTTGACTAACTTACAATGATTAAACCGTTTTGAAAAGGAAAAAATTTTCGATGGGTGATGTTGCTATTGTTAGTCACGTAAAGCGATCTCGGAACGAACGCTACCGTATGAATTCGGTGCCGTGATTCGACCGAACTGAATGGGCAGTATTACTCGGAAGAATGCTTAATTTCCATTTTGTCTTGCATTTATTTCTTTGTTCAGTTTTCGATAAATAAAAGGAATTCTTGTGGGATTTCCGACAGTCTTATCATATTTGTCAATCTCTCTGTTGAATAGCACATTGAAGAAGACAATGGCGATGGGTAA